ACTGCTGTTAATGTGACTAACACATCCCAAAGAGACAGGAAGGACTTCATACTTAGCTCCTCTGTCTCACACAAGTGCCCAAAATAGATAAAACCTTGAGCCCTTTCCCAACCCCCTCATAGAAACAACCCTCTCCCTATCTTTTGCAAATCCTTGCAGATATGATCATTATATGAAAAGTTGAGACTAATTATACTCAGTAGTTCGGGGGGGTGGGTAAATTTTTTCCCACTGCATTTTTTTTCACTTGATGAGCCAGCCTTGTCAGGTCTGAGCTCCGTCACAAACACTCTCCAAGTCAATCTCCTTAACATTCTTGTCTAATTTTCCCTTGGTATCTCTCAACACACATGAATTAGTCACATCTACCTGGCTACCAGCACAGAACAGATAAAGCGTGATATAAATCCAGAAAAGCAGAGCTCCCCCGTGACTTAGGGTTAGTGCTAGGGTTAGGGCTCAGGACAGAACCTGGTAAAGGCTGACTCAGGACAAAGAACCACTCGATTCGGTGGCTGAAAATGCCGGGAGGAGGCGGGGTGGAGCCCTCGGCAGGGCCAAGGCTCTGAGGGAGCCTGCCTCCCTGCTACAAAGCCGTGGACCTGGAGTGGGTTATCCCACTGGGAAGAGGGACACATTTTAAAATATGTCCCAAGGTACCATACATGTGGCATTGGTCCTGCACACACCTGCGTCACCTCTGGAAGTTTGTCACCAAGTCAGAAGGAGGAGGTGAGAACCGCGAGGCAAATTTCCTGGGGCTCCTGCTCAGGCCCAAGAGGACACAGAAGCATGTCTCTTTATTTCATTTATTTTGGGCTGTGCTGGGTCTTAACAAAGCTGCACGGGCTTTTCTCTAGTTGTGCTGAATGGGGCCGACTCCAGCTGCAGTGCCCGGGCTTCTCATTGCGGCGGCTTCTCTTGTTGGGGAGCAAGGGCTCTAGCATGCTTGAGTCTCAGTAGTTGCGGCTCCCGGGCTCTGGAGCACAGGTTCAATAATTGTGGTGCATTAGCTCAGTAGGTCTGCAGCATGTCGGATCTTCCCGACCCAGGGATTGAACCCATGCCCCCTGCATTGGCAGGCGGATTCTTTACCTCTGAGCCACCGGGAAGCCCCAGGAGCATGTCTTAATCTCCAGCCTAAAATACCACCCACTCCCAGCCCCTCACCTTCCAGACCCACTCCCAAGCGTACTTCCCTGGTTCCTGCCAGGAGGTATTAGCCAGGACTTGCAGCTCCTTTGGCAAATAACCCCTCCCCTCTCTTGGCAGAGCCAGCACTGCCCTAGCCAAGCCATGCTGGGGCTAGGACCTCATTATAGGAGGGCAAGTAGTGTCTTGAAAAACACCTGCCTCAACCATCTCTGGACAAGGTAAGAGGCACAGCTGATGCTTTTAAACTACATTTTCTTTCTTTGCTGCAGCAGGTCTTTTTTGCAGCATCGTGCAGGATCTTTCATTGTAGCTTCCAGACTCTAGTTGCGGCACACAACTTCAGGAGTTACAGCACGCAGGCTTAGTTGCTCCATGGCATAGGGGATCTTAAATTACCTGACCAGGGATCAAACCTGCGTCCCCTGCATTACCAGGTGGATTCTTAACCACTGGGCCACCAGGCAAGTCCCGAGAGTCGGAGGGAGTGTGTGCTCAAGGACATCCCCAATCCTATCCAGAAGTTTCCTTCCTCTTGCCGCAGGCCCCGTGCCTGGTCTTTGGTAGTCGGTCCTTGGCAGGAGGAGCTGAGTTTCTTTACGGCACGGAGGCCTCCTGACTGTCCCTCTGGGCCTTTCAGCTGGTGACTGTGATCCCGAGCCCCTCTTTCAGCCATGTCATGGCTTCAGTGGTGCTCAGCAAAACCAACCGATCCCACAGTCCCTAGAATAACCATTCTCTCGCATCTCCCAAGTCCTCAAGATGCCACATGAGCTGGGGCAGCCCCTCTCACCTGGTATCCTGTCCTGTCCATAATGATAGCAGCCAGGAGTCACACAACAGGGAGAGACTGTTGCTGCGATGGGGGAGTGGCCCAAGCCCTCGGTCCCCACCTTAGACTCCACTTCCTAAGACCACCATCAACACCATCAATCTTAAGGTGGGCTCCTGATGAGCAGACCTGGAAACAAGGACTTAGGCATGAGTGATTTATTAAGGCCCTGCTCCCAGCGGGTATCTGAGTAAAGGAAATAAAACCGGAAAGGAGAGGAAGCAGAGTAAGGGCGAGTCTCAAGGCAAACCCTGCAGAGATGCTTGGATGAGATCCCAGACAAGCTTGGCCATGATCCACGCCCCCGAGCGGTGTGGGCTGGAAGGGGGAGGACCTTGGCTTGCAGCGTCCTCCCATACCTGTCTCTCACGGGCCAAGAGCCACCGTGGGGGAGGCAATCCCCAGGTACATCCAGCTCTCTGCAGAAGTGGGTCAAGAGGCTTCAGCAGCCCCCAGGGTCATCCAGCAAAGAAGAGCTGAGGGCGGGACGGTTGAATGCAAAAGCTGGATGACAAGGGGAGACAAAGATGGTAAAAAGGCATCTGAGAGCATTTGACTGTTGAGTCTTAGAGCCAGAGACTCTCAGGGCCGGGAGAGGCCTCAGTCCTCATGACACCCCTTCAGGTGAGCCAGCACACTCGCCACTGTCACGGCAGTCCACACTATGATTGGACTGGACGGCTTCAAAGCTTGTCCGGAGGAGACGCCAAAACCGGCTTCCTCCAGCATCCACCTTCTGGTCCCCACCCCTCCCAGGGGAGTTGTACTGCGTAAGCCCATCCCTGGCCAAGAATCTCAGGCTGGAAGGAAGGGTCTGGGGTGCAGAGCTGGGCATGGGTCTGAATACGAAGTTGTCTGCTTCTAGAGCAATGGGGAAAATGTGACAAAGTGAAGCCCCGTAAAATCCAGAGGTGAAAACACAAAGACAGGACAAGGTATTTCCTCATTTTTGTTTATTTTGTTTCTCACTTACCAACACGTTGGCAAAACGGAGCAGGCTGTGTTAGTAAAGGAGAAGCAGGAAGGGGGTCAGGCAGCGTCTAAGGAGCCACGTGGGGGAGTCGGGGGCAGGAAGAGCCAGAAGGACCAGCGGAGTCAGGTGCCCCCACATCATCCTGCCCTCCCAGACATCGAGATTGCCGCTGCTCCGACCGACCCCCAGACGTTTACAAAACCGCCATAAAGAGCATTTCTGTTGCCTCCTGTCCTTGTCCTCAGCGTTCTCCTTCTGACCCCCCGTGACGAGGCAGGGTCTGCTCGGGACGGCCCTCTGCACGGCCTGGCCTGGGAGAACCTGCCCCTGCATCTCAAGGTCCCAGCCCCTACGCCGCAGTGGGTGCACTGGCTTCTGAGAAAGCAAGGCAGGGCGCGGCTACGGGAGGTCTGCGGGAGAGATGGAAGGACCACCCCTTAGGACCTTGGACAGCACTCGCAGAAGGCCCTCTGCTTCCGCCCCCGGGCTTCTATTCAAGAGGATTTAGGGACGGACTGTGAGCCTGGGAATACCCTAGCGCCTGCCTCGGAAGCTTGCTTGGGTGTGACCCTGGAGGGAAGGTTTCACCTGCGCCCAGAGTGGACTTCCTGGCCTTTGCACATTGACCCAGCGGACGCTGGGACCCTGTGTTCATGAACACAAAACATTTACATCAGGATTTCATCCACCCTGATGAACTTTCATTCGGTAAGTATTTTCAAGGCAAAAGCCACTGAAGACAACTGAACGCCTTGATCAGTTTTCTACGTAGTGCAGATAAATTTCCTCTTCCCCCATGAAATAGTTTTCACCAGGACTCTTTCACGTGCGTTACACCACGTATGTCGGCTTCCCTGGTTAGTGCTGGAGCTCTGCCAAATGGCACCCAACGTCTCGAGCTGCCGTTGGGTGTTTTCCCCTGTGACTCTCCGCTCCAGTCAAGTCCAATTTCCCTGGGGGAGAAATTGGTACCCAAAGACGACCCTGAACTATGTGCTGTGGGCGGCAATGTGCCACCTCCGTGCCGCTTTAGCCTCGTTGATTTCCTCTCTGGAGTGTTTCCGAGGGTGAATCGGTCCGTCACTCAGTTGGCCCGGGAAAACGATGCCAGCGATGTCCCAGCGATATTCCAGGATGTTGCGGAACACGGTCAAAACTTCCAAGCGCGCGCGGTGCTCCCGGGTGCGGGGGAAGCTGCGCCCTCCCCGACCTCGGCGCCCCGTCCCCAGCCCAGACCCCGGGTCAGGGCGCCTTGTCCGCCGCCGGCTCGGCGCGCGGGGTGCCCCCGGCAGCCGTGCGCGAGCCGCGAAGCAGGCCGAGGCCCCGGGAGCGGCCGGCGCCGTGCAGCTGGCGCTCGTGGCGGCGGATCTGAACCTTGTGGCGGAAGCGCTCGCCGCAGTCCTCGCAGGCGTAGGGCCGCTCGCCCGAGTGCGTGCGGCGGTGGCGCAGCAGGTTGGACGAGACGCTGAAGCGCTTGCCGCAGTCGCCGCAGGCGTAGGGCCGCTCGCCCGTGTGCGTGCGCTGGTGCTGCACCAGCGCCGAGCTCTCGCTGAAGCGCTTGGCGCAGTACGGGCACGCGTAGGGCTTCTCGCCCGTGTGGATGCGCTGGTGCGTCACCAGGTTCGAGTGCTGCGAGAAGCTCTTGCCGCACTCCCCGCAGCGGTGCGGCCGCTCGCCGGTGTGCGTGGCCTGGTGCCGCACCAGGTCCGTGCTGCGGCTGAAGCCCTTGCCGCACTCCCCGCAGATGGTCGGCCGGTCCCGGGCGCGCCGCCGCCGCCGCGGCGGCCGGGCCGGCGTCAGGGCCGCGCCGCCGCCCGGCGGGCCCGGGACGGCCACGATCGAGGGCGCCGACACAGCTGCCGCGGGCAGCACCATCAGCTCCTGCAGCACCACGTAGCCCGGGGGCGCCACCACCACCGCGGCGGGCGCCCCCGCGGCGGCCGGCACCAGCTCCAGCTGCAGCTCGGGCGGCACGGGGGTCAGCTCCAGCTGCAGCTCGGGTGGGTGGACCCCGGGCTCCACCGGCGTCAGCTCCAGCTGCACCTCCGGCGGCTGTGCCAGCTGCTGCTCCAGTTGCTTCTCCAGCTGCTGCAACTGCTCCTGAAGCTGGAGCTGCAGCTGCCGCTGCTCCTGCTGCCGCTCCAGCTCCTGCCGCTGCCGCTCCAGCTCCTGATCGGACTCCATGTCCACCGGCATGAGCTCCAGCTCCACCTCCTCCTCCTCCTCCGGCCCCAGGGGCCGGGGCTGCAGCTGCTGCTGCAGCTGCAGCTGCTGCTGCAGCAACAGCTCCAGCTGTTCTTGCTGCTGCTGCAGCAGCTGCAACTGTTCCTGCTGCTTCTGCAGCTGCTGCTGCAGTTGCAAGTGCTCCTCCTGCGGTTGTAACTGTTCCTGCGGCTGTTGCTGCAACTGTTCTTGGTGCTGGGGCTGTTCTTGCTGCTGCAGCTGCAGCTGCAGCTGTTCTTGCTGCGGTTGCAATGACTCCTGCTGTGACTGCACCTGCTCCTGCTGGGGCTGTAACGGCTCCTGCTGCTGTGGCTGCTGCACTGCTGGCTGCAGCGGTTGTACCTCTTGCTGCAGCAGCTGCGGCCATCCCTGCTGCAAGTCCTGTTGCAGCTCCTGCCGCAGCTGTGGCAGCGGCTGTTCCTTCACGGCCCCCTCCTCTGATTGTTCCTGCAGCTGCCTCTGCTGCTCATACGGCACACACATGGGCTTTTCCTGCAGTTCCTGCCGCTGGAACCGTTCCTGCCGCAGCCGTGACCGCCGTCGCACCTGCCTGTGCTCCCGTGACGGTTTCTGCCGCGGCATCAGCCGCAGCCGCGGTTTCAGCGGCCCCTGTGGCACAGACCGGGGCTCTTCCTGCAGTTCTGGCTGCGGCTGGGGCAGCGGCTCTCGCCCATCTTGCTGCCGCTGCAGCTCTGGCTGAGGTCTTGACCCTTGCTTGTGTGGCTGCCGCTGTGGCTGCCGCTCCGGCGGCTGTTCTGACTGTTGGGCGTGCAGCTTCTGCCGTCCCGACACGGTCTCCTCAGCGACCTCACTGGCCCGCTTGGGAGCTGAGACTGCTGGCCGCGGTGGGCTGCTGCTCCTCTCCTGACCGTTTTCTCCCTCCTGACTCACACTCCCACCGCTGCCACCTGAGTGGGAATGGCAGAAAGCCAAGAGAGAAACACCTGGAGTCAGCTCTCTGGTTCAGACTCCCGTGACGTCCTTCCTTCCCCTTCCCCATGTACAGTCACTCTATGATAAGCTCCTGAGCCCTCAGCAGGGACCCCCAAACATGGGACCTTGTGACAACGGCAGCATGATAGAAAGGGAAATGCCCAGCAGTGTGGAGTTGGCTTAGAAATGTATCCAAGGGACAGCGAGCTGGTCACATCACTCTGGACCCCAGGCCCCCAACCTTTCCTCGGGGCCTTCTTCCACACAGGCTTGATGCTTAGACCTTGCCAGTGACACTGCCCTGCGTGCCTGGGGCTCACCAACACCACTCCCTGAAAAGTCCTTTGGGCCTAACCACCATCCGAGAGGAATCTGTGAACCTGCCATTCCCACAGCTAAGCCACAAGCCCATGCTGAACTCTGACTTCAGTTAGGGGTCATACTTGAAACAAATGAAATTCACCCTCTCTGTACACAATAAAGAATTTCTGTCAGGCTGCCTGGAAGTGTTTCCACCGCAGTTTCTAAAAATCACCAAAGTCAGAGAGAACACGAGGTTTCCAGGTGGGAGGTGCCCAATAATTCTACCAGGTAGCAGCTGGTTAACCTCCTGCAGGTTCAGGGCCCTTCTCATCTGGAACATACCTGTGTCATCCCCACACTGCCAGCTTAGTGAGTGAAGCAGGAAGGGCCCCGGCATCACCTCTAGTAGGTGCTTGAAAAATCCCTCTAGCTGTGGGTTAGGAATTAGTTTGAAAATTAGCAAGCAGTTTGGAAATATGAATACCAAGGATACAACTAGCTCCATCTGAAACAGCCTTTAGATTGAAAGTGGTCTGCTTGTTCATTTGTTTTTTGGCTGCACCACTCAGCTTGTGGGATCTTAGTTCCCCGACCAGGAGTGGAACCCGAGTCCCCTGCATTAGAAATGTGGAGTCTCAACCACTAGACTGCCAGGGAAGTCCGAGGCTGGAAGTGGTTTTAGACTGTTAATTCTCAGATGGAAAGGAACAACTGACAGCCCCAAGTCTACATGGCAACTGGCCAGTTACTTAATCCCTGGGAACCTCAGTTTCCCCATCTGCTTAAAGGAGCTAAACCCCTTTTGGGGAAATTTTGAAAAATTAGAGGGGATAAACACACAGCCCCAGCTCAGTGCACGACATAGAGGAAGCTCAGCTATGCAGGACTCATCTCGTTGCTACATGTCACAAAATCTACATGCGGTTTCTCACTCTGAGCATACTGCTGTGCTATCTGAAAATCCAAAGAGGCCTTCTCCATTCCCAAGTCTGATTCAACATCTGTTTTTCCCATAGCATCATATTTTCAACTTTGGGATGGAAAGCAGAGGTTTGGTTGACCCAATTTTGCTTTCTGGCTGATTTTCCAGGAATATACTGATTTCATAAAATCAAGGGATATCTACGTGTAAATAATTCCCTTTTAGAAAACTGATTCCCAAGACCCTTCGCTTAGGTTAATGGATCAGTGTGTTTTTCTTACACACTCACAACAGGTGGGAGTATGTGGGAAGTGAGAGAAGACAGACCATCACAGACAAACTGTTGTCTCAGCAAATCCAAGGTCACGTGGGCACTCCCTTGTCCTACCAGCTCTGGGGGCAGCAGGACTCATCACCCCCCTGGGTAGGTCCTCCCACTTCCAGGAGGGCGCTTGGCCAAATGACCACTAACTGCTTCTCACAGCATTTGCACACTGGTAACAACGACATTTGGGTAAATGTATACTGAAGTGTCATCTGATGTGTCTGCTCTAGTGAGATTTTTGTCAGTTGAGTATTTAAGCCAAGAGTCCTGGGAATTCCCTGGTGGTCCAGTGGTTAGGACTCTGAGCTCTTACTGTAGAGGCTGTGGGTTCGATCCCTGGTCAGGGAACTCCGATCTCACAAGCCACATGGGGAAGCTGGCGGTGGGGGGGGCAGGGGTGGTGGCGGGGTGTGGTGTGGTTGAAGGCCAAGGGTCCTAGTTGAGTCCACACATCCCCACCCAATGCCTCCAGTTCCTTTGGTCTTTTCATGTTCTGTTCAACCCTGCCCAGCCCCTCACTCAGCGCTCTCAACGCACAAAGTGGGGAGTTGGCTCCCGTGAGCATGGCTGCCTTGGAAGATTTGCCAAGAGTAGGGGTGAGGGGGTTTTGGAAGGTTCTGCAAGGCCACATTTGCCTCTGGGAAAAAGGAAAGAAAGATGGATGGAAGCAAGCAGAAGTCAAGGAAAAGCAGACAAGACCAGAGGCCACAGAGAAAAGCAAAGCCCCACGGCCAGTGACAAGGGTGTCCCTTAGCCCCTGAATTCAATCTGGGACCTTGAGTCCAGAGTCAGGGATGAGAGAGGGAGGAGACGGAGGTCCTGTGAGCCCTGGGGAAACAGCAGCGGGGCCCAGTCAGCACGCATCCAGGTGGGGACGGGGGCTGAGAACGTGTGCACCACCAGGCAGCCCTCACCGGCAACGCTGCAGCCCGACGGTGGCCTCAGAAGACCCTGAGGTGACCCTGCCGACGTGGGAGGTGCAGCCTGCCCGCCACACCCCAGGCAGCGGGCTGCTGGCCAACCTTCAGGGCTCCCTCTCAGCAGGCCTGGGGCTTTGTCAAAGGATCCTCGCCAGGGACCTGAGGACCATCTCCTGGTTGAGGAGGTCAGAGGTGCCCTCCCTTAGCCCCTTACCTGAGGGGGTGTCGGATCCCAGGCCCCCATCTTTAAGACGGTGAGGCTTCCGCACGAAGGTCTTGGTTGCCCGCCTCACCTTCATCCTGGCGGTCAGACCAAGATCCTGGGGAGCTGGCTGTGCTAAGGGGAAGGAAGGAAGCTGTTCAGACCAGCGGGGAGCCCCGGGCCAGGGGTCCTGACACCTCGCTGTCCCGGAGTCGGCAGCTCACCCCTCCCGGGAAGGAGGACGGTGTGGTCCACGACCGGGAAAGGGACGAGCAAGGGTGGCCTGGAGGCCCTGCTCCCAGGGCCGGCTGCCTGCACAGGCAGTCCTGACTCTCCTGACTTAGTGCAGGGCCCACGTTCAGCCTCCCGCCTGGGGCAGCCCTTGCAGCTGCCTATCACCGATGATGAGAGATGATGGACATTTGGGGAAGTTTACAGGAAAAAAGACTTGTTTGTCCGTCTCCATCTCACATTCCCCTGGCCCCCTCAAAGCACGGACAAGTTTGTTCAATTCCCTGGTCTCTTGCCTCCCAAGCTGCTCTGGGGATTCGGCCAGTCTTCCCAGGTCACCAGCAGACTGCCAGTTCCGGGCCATGTGAGTCTGTCCAGGTGCCACCTCAGTTCCCAGAGCACTGCAAGCCCTGCAACTGGAGGGCTGTGGGCCTGGCCCTGTGCCCCAGCGATTCTGAGGTCTGCAGAGTTTCCGGCCTCTCTCCAGCGTCCCGTCCCCCACCCCCTCCCGGGGGGCCCCTGTGGCGGTCCTCCCTCTCCTCCTGAGAGGATGACTCCAGGTCCCTCCAGCTTCGCACAATCCAGCCCAACCCTCTTAAGAAATCGTCCCTGGGTTCGCCCCGCTGATCTACCCCCTGGGCCTCACCTGGCACAAGCATCGCCTGCTCCGCAGGCAGCCTGGGCGCTAGGGAAGGTGTGGTCAGCAGGGGCTGGAAGGTGAAGGCCAGAGCGTTCAACCAGCTCCTTCGCCAGGCGCCCCCATCCAGAAAGAGCCGGGGAGATGCTGGACCACCCGGGGGACCTTTCTGGTCACTTGGAACGGGTCTGTCGCTGTCAGGGTTGCCGAGGTCGCCCTGGGCCAAAAGAAGGGGGGCAGAGCGGAGTTCAAGATCAGAAGTTGGTGTGGGCCCCCTGGGGCGGGGGGCGGGGGGCGGGGTGGGGGAGACAGAGCCCCGAACCAGCGCGGGGCTCAGGGCGGGACCATCGCGGGCGCCGAGGGCGGACCGGGGGCGGACCTGGTGGGCGGTGGACCAGTGTCGTTTCAGCCCCCGGGCAGCGCGGGGCCGGCCGGGGATCTGCCCGCGGCCACAGGTGCCGAGAGCCGGCGGGCCGGCGGCCTGGGCCGGGCCTGGCCGCGCGGAAGGCGGGCGGGGGGCGGGCGCCGCGGCCGGGCCGGGGTCCCCGTGCGCTCGCCCGCCCGCCCGAGCGTGTGACCGGCCGGCCGTGCGTCCGAGCGGGCAGCGGCCGGGCCGGGGGCGGGGGCGGGGGTGGCGGGGGCCGGCACAGGAAGTCCCCCCGGCATCCGCATCCTGTCCCCCGCGCCCCGGCCCCCGCCGCCGCCGCCGCTCTAGGCCGCCGCGAGCTCGGTGGGCTTAACCCTTCCCGGCCCGGCCACTCACCCCGCGCGGGGGGCGCGAGCCGGGGGCGCCGGGACCGGGCGCAATGCGCCCCGCAGCATCCCCGTGTGTGCGCGTCCGCGCGCCCGGGTTGGCGACTGTAGCCGCGCGAGTGCGGGGGAGGCTCCCAGCCGGGCTCGGCAGCCCGCTGAAGGGCAGGCACGGCTCCGGGACAAACGGGGCTCAGGTCGCACTCAGTTAGGTGACGCGCGGTTCACGAAGCCCCATCCCGGGCCGCTGCGCAGACCCTAGAGAGGCCTCTCCTTCGACCCCCTGGACCCATGTCCTGGATCCTGGAGTGGAGAGGTTGGACCTGGGGGCGCGGGGAGCTGTGGCCGGCAGTCAGGTGGGCGTGGACCCCAAAGGACCAGATGGGGCCGTAGGGGCCACCCTGGCCAACTGGAGAGCTGAGCTTGGCTCTGTCTGCGCCCCTGCGCGGTGCGCACCGCCCGGTGGCCAGGCCCCCTTGCCGCCCCACCCTGCGCCCTCCCCAGCCCCGTCCTTAGCCGCTCAGGGCAGCGGGCCTCCCTGGTCGTGCCCAGCCGCTTTCCACGCTGGTCAGGAAGGGTCCCTCTGTCTCCACATCCCTTTGCTACTCTGTTCTCTCTCATCTGGAGATGGGCTGACGCTGACATCAGGATGCTCCAGTTCTCTGAAAACCCAAAGCACTGGCCGCAGAGAGCTGCTTCTGGCCGGAGCAGGGCGGTGCCTCACTGGAGGGGTCAGGGGTCCTCCTGTGGTCACAGCCCCTCCCCCCTTGCTGTCTCCAGGCTCACACAGCTGCCACCCCTGTGGCCCCCTTGTTCCGACTTTGGATTCTTCCAGGCCCTTTGGGAGTGGAGATTGGGGCTTCTCCTCTCACCCTTGCCTGAACCGCATGCACTGTCTGGCAGCTTCACCCCAGATGAGGTGCTCCGGAGGGCAGGGACCGCATCTGCCTCACCGCATCTGCCTCCGTAGACAAACAGTGCAGCAAGAGCCCATCTTTAGAGGCGGAAAAATCTGGGTTCCCAAGAGGGGCTCTTTCAGTTGTGTTAGGAGGCGAATTATGGCCTTCCTTCTGGACAGTGGGACCGCACCCCACTAGCCGGGTGTCTGGGGATGAATGAACTGGCTCTCTCCTGCCCGGGGCAGGTGTGCCCCTTCTCCTGCCTGGGAGAGTTGAGAGCAGAGCTGTTTCTGCCTCCTTCTGTCTCCTGGGAGACCTCACGCCCAGAGGATCCACTCCTCCCACCCCAAATTTTCAACCTCCCCCTTCTTCTGGCTTCTTTCTGACAGCACTTGCTCATTCCCACGGCTCTCTCATCTTAAAAACACGCACCGCCACCCCCCCCCCACTCTCCTGCCCTTGGTGCCAAACTTGCTGGAGAGATGCCCCGTGATAGTTCTGTCCATACCCCCATCGGCCTGGCCCTCCTTCCCTCTCTGCAGCCTGGCCTCTGCCTCATCACTCCACTCAGACAGCTCTGCCTGATGTCACCAGGGACCTCCACGTCACTGAATCTCTCAGCTCCTTCCACCTCTAGGCAGCTTTGCTGGGAGAGCACCCTTGGTTCCCCCTTCTTCCCCACCTGCTACCTTTGCAGGCTCTCTTCCTTCACCAGGCACATTGCTCACCTTTACATCGTGCAAACCTGCAATCAGGTGTCTTCCCGGGCCAGCTCTCCCCAGGAGTTTTTCTTGGTCCACACCTGAGCACTGGCTTGACCAAAGCCGCCAGCCTTTCTTTTGCTTTCTTCCTCTTCTTCCCTTTAATCTTTTTTTTTTTTTTTTGCTGCACCATGCAGCAACATGCAGGATCCTTGCTCCCTGATCAAGGATTGAGCCCAGACCCCCTCCAGTTAGAAGCATGGAGTCCTAACCACTGGACTGCCAGGTAAGTACTTGTCTTTAATTTCTTTCTTTTTTTTTTTTTTTTAAATCAAGGTAACATGTATACCAAGTTAAGTCAAATAGTTCTACAAAATCTGCAGCAACAAGAAAAGTTTCTCCTCACTTATGAGTCCACTCCCATTTCTTCAGATATCTCTTGCCATATTTCTAAATAATATGCTTTTAATGCTCTTACTTGCTTTTTCCAGTTTAGATCATATCTATTGACATCCCACTCTGCAAGATGCAGGTTAAACTGTTGACACCACACAGAGACGTGCATACTTTCCCTCCCATCCTCCCGTTGTCTAATCATTTGCCTGGTCTTTATCCTGTTTTCTGGGTGAGAGCTTCAAACTCTGGTGGCTCAGATGCTAAAGAATTCTCCTGCAGTGCGGGAGAACCAGGTTCAATCCCTGGGTCGAGAAGATCTCCTGAACAAGGGAATGGCTGCCCACTCCAGTAGTCTTGCCTGGGAAATCCCATGAACAGAGGAGTCTGGCGGGCTACAGTCCATGGGGCCGCAAAGAGTCGGACACCACTGAACACACAGGCACGCACTCAGACAGTCATCAGTATAAGTGCTTTCCTGAATTCTGTGAGTTGATCTAACGCATTAACGAACCCGAGTAGGTCACAGGAATCCTGATTTTGTAGTCAGCTGGTCGGAAGTGCAGGTGGTCTGGGAACGTGCAAACGTGAGGCCAGCCTATGAGGCCAGGGTGGTGTGTGCTGGGCTTAGTTGCAGCATTCAGGATCTAGTTCCCTGATCAAGGATGGGCCTGGGCCCCCCTCTTTGGGAGCAGAGTCAACTGCTGGACCATGGGGAAGTCACTCTCCTCTTCATTGCTTTTTGGCCTCCAGTATTGCTACTGTGGATGTCCAGGGCCATTTTGATACCCCATCCTTTGCACGTATATTTTCTCTCTGTGCTGTGTGCTCAGTCGCCCAGTTGTGTCTGACCCTTTGGGACTGCATAGACCATAGACTGCCAGGCTCCTCTGTCTGTGGGGTTTTCCTGGCGAGAACACTGGAGTGGGTTGCCATGTCTTCCACTAGTTTTCTCTCTGGAAGCTTGTAAATATTTTTTTAAAACCTGTACTCTGAAATTCCCTTGTGGACACTCAGGCAGCCACTTCCATCTGGAACCTCATGTTTATCTGTTCCGAGAAGTGAATTTGAGTAATTTCTTTGATCATGTTCCCCTTCGTTTTCTTTTGTCCTTTTCTAGAATTTTGATTTTTTTCAGACATTGGACCCTCTGTGCCACTCCTATCATCATTTCAACTTCTCTTCCATTTTTCATCACTTAACCTCTCAGTATACTTTCTGAAGGATTTTCTCCTAAGCTTTCTGTTGAATGCTTTTATTTCTGGTATTCTGTCTTCTGTTTCCCAGAGCTTTCTTATTCTCAAGCTGTTGCTTTTCTCTTGTGTGCTGTTCTTGTTTCACGATTCCAGTACTTGCTCATATCTCTCTGAGGACAGTGAAGTTTGTCCCTGCTCCTTCTGTCATCTTTGTTTGCTCCAGTTGTTTTGTTTTGTTTTGTTTTTTCTAATGTGTCTCTGTCATTTCTTCTGTTGGAGGATTTCCTAGGATGCTGGGTGGCCCTGGGCTGTTTGATCATGTGTGTGGTCATTAAATCCCCCTTGCTTTCAGGATGGACTCTCGCTGCCTTTGGCTTATTGAGCCCAGGATTATGCCAGCTCTGGCTCAGATCTTAGAGTTGGGTTTCATTAGGGTTCATTGGTTCATGGGTTGACCTTCGGGCCAACCACCACGGGGGCTGCAGGGCTCAGTTGGGCCAGGCCTGGGTCAAGGATGGAGCCAGGGCCCCAGGGGTGAGGTCAGGATGCTATCACCAGCAGGAAACGGGGGCTGAATTGTGGATGGACAGAAACAACAGATCCATCATAACTAGAATGTATTGTATTTATTCACAATGTGTTTACACAGTCAAGATCCTAATATGCACATTGACGTGCAACAACTTGCTCTTTTTTTTCCTCCATGACCTGGGACTGAACCTGAGCCCACAGCTGTGAAAGCAGAGTGCTGACCATTCAAGGGACTTAGCACACACGCACACACAGTCCACTCCAAAGGAGGAGCCCAGCTTCCCTGGAGGGGCTGCCTGTCAAACATCTGCCCCCAAAGAGGTCCTTTATCAAGAAGGAGACAGATGACTGGTTATGTCCAGTCATTCAGTCCTGTCTGACTCTTTGCTATCCCATGGACTGTAGCCCCCCAGGCTCTTCTGCCCATGGAATTTTCCAGGCAAGAATACTGGAGTGGGTTGCCATTTCCTACTCCAGGGGATCTTCCTGACCCAGGAATCAAACCCTCGTCTCTTTTGTCTCCTGCACTGACAAGCAGATTCTTTACCATTAGCGCCACCTGAGAAGCCCAGATGGCTGGTATTAGTCATTCAGTTGTGTCCGACTCTTTGAGATCCCATGGACTGTAACCCACCAGGCTCTTCTGTCCATGGGATTCTCTGGCCAAGAATACTGGAAGGCAATGTCTAATAATTCTGCCACATACACTTGCTCCAGCTTCCCTGGTGGCTAGTGGTAAAGAATCCGCTTGCCAATGCAGGAAATGTGGGCTTGATCCCTGGGTTAGGAAGATCCCCTGGAGAAGGAAATGGCAACCCACTCCAGAATTCTTGCCCAGAAAACTCCATGGACAGAAGAACCTGGCAGGCTACAGTCCCTGGGGTCACAATGAGCCAGACACGACTTAGTGACAAAGACCAGAGCAGATGCTTGCTTGCCAAGCTAGCAGATGCTAGCTGTTATTTAACAGCTGACAATATGATGGGCAAAAATGACCTCATTGCTTTAATTTGCCTTAAAAAAATTAAATGACATTGAACAGGATTTTATAAGTTGAAGGAGGCATGTGCTCAGACACTCAGTCGTGTCCAACTCTTCGTGACCCTGTGGACTGTAGCCCATCAGGTTCTTCTGTCCATGGGATTCTCCAGGCAAGAATACTGGAGTGGGATGCCATTTCCTCCTCCAGGGGATCTGCCCAACCCAGGGATCGAACCCACGTCTCTTATGTCTCCTGTATTGGCAGGCAGATTCTTTACTACTAGCACTATTTGGGAAGCCCTGAAGAAGGCATAGGTACAATTAAAATACTGTACTTTAATTTATCTGTTTTTTTTTTTAACTTTTAGGCCATCTTGTGAGGCATGGAGGATCTTAGTTCCCTGACCAGGGATTGAACCTGTGACCCAGGCAGTGGAAGCCCAGAGTCTTAACCACTGGACTGCCAGGGAAGTCCCTAAAATACTGATGCAAGCGATTCAGTTACAAATTAATCTCACTGCTTCAGTTTGCTTTATGTTTCTCCCTGACTTAATGAAGTTAATTATTTACACGGCCCCAAAGTCAAAGAAAACAAGGTACATTCGGCAGTCTAGCTTCACACGTGTCACTTCACCCTGCTCCTCTTCCTTCCCCTCAGCTACAATTATTATTAGTTTTTCCTTTATCTTTCCTTCATTTCAATTTACATGTTCCCCACCTCCTTCCTTTTGCAAAAGGTAGCATGTGATACACACTTTTATGGACCTTCCTTCTTTCATTTTGCTTAATAAATCCTAGCAGTCACTCCCTAGGAGAAGATGTTAAAAACAAAACTCAAAAAACAGTACCATAATACTCTTCCCTGTGGCTAAAACATCATGTTAATAGACTCATGGCAAGTTTTTCATCTTTTGCTGTTACACATCATGCTGCAATGAAAAGCCTCGTATGTGTATTGTCTCCTATTTTTGCCACTGGATTGAGAAGGAGGTTCCTGGGTCAAAGGGCAAACGCATATGTAATTTTGCTAAATATCACCAGATTTCTTTCCAAAGTGGTTGTACCATTTTGCATTCCCATCAGCTCCAATGAACTCAGTAGCTATTATACTTTCCATTTTTCTAAAATTAATTAATTTGGCTGCACCGGGTCTTGTTACAGCTTGCGGGTCTTCACTGTGGCCTGCAGGATCTTCTAGCTGCAGTATATGCGAACTCTTAGTTGTGGCATGTGGGATCTAGTTCCCTGACCAGGGATTGAACCTGGGTCTCCTGCACTGGGAATGTGGAGTCTTAGCCACCAGACGACCAGGGAAGTCTCTACTTTTCATTTCTAGAAGTTCTACCTAACTTTTTTTGTTTTTGCATCTTCTAGGTAATTCACAATTACCCAGTAATTTCCCCCTGTAGTTTCTCACTTGTCTTTTATGCCATTAACCATGACTGTTTTAGTCCAGCTCTTGACAGCTGTGACACTGGAAGACTTTTTGAACCCATTTCTGTCAGGTGCATCTTTGCAGGTCCCCACCCTTGGCACCTGCTCATTTCTCACTGGACATCAGTCGGTCTCCTCGGACAGTCATTGGTGGGTTGAGCCTAGGATGAGTGACTTTCCTCCAGAGAATGTGTGTTTGCTCCTCCTGGGCACCTGGGAGGACTGCAGGTCCAGGAACCCCCAAGGACTGAGGTCACAGCAGGCAGTGTCCTGGGGTAACCAGTGCTGTCAACCTGGGGTGAGGACTTGCCCCCGCCCCTCACTTCTTAGGAACCAGACTTCCCTTTGGCTTTTCCCAGGCTCTGCTCAGCGCCAGGGCAACCTTCCCTGCCGTCTTCTGCTCTTCTTCAAAGTATATCCTGGGGGTTCCAGCAAAATGGAGAGTGGGTCTCCTAGTAGATCCCACTTTGAACCCTTCATCCTTGCGGGCCTCAGGGGCACAAGTGCCTTTGTGCAGCTTACCTGCTTTCGTTACCATGTGACCTGGATACCTTGTCTCTGGTGGTGCTGTCTTTGTTGCTGCACGTGGACTTTCACTAGTTGCAGTGAGCGGGGGCTCCCCCCAGTCTCAGCGCCCGGGCTTCGCACTGTGCTGGCTTCTCCTGTTGTGGAGCACGGGCTTTAGGTGCCAGGGCTTCAGTAGTTGGGGCGCTTAAGCTCAGCAGTTGCGGTTCCTGGACTCCAGAGCGCGGGCTTAATAGTTGAGATGCACAGGCTTACTTGCTCCACGGCAGGTGGGACCTTCCCAGACTGGGGATCGAACCCATGTCTCCTGCATTGGCAGGTGGATTCTTTACCACTGAGCCACCAGGGAAGCCCCTGAGCTGGATGTTCTTTATAACCTGCTAGTTTGTCTGTAGGTCATTGTATGTTATCCAGTGTTTTTAATTGAAGCAGAAGGGTTGGCTGAAAAATCTAACCGTCACTACCAGAAATAGAAGTTCTAAAATGCACTTTAACATGTGAATACACCATCCTTATAATAACATAAACTGTGTGTGGTTATTGGCTGGTACGTACGCCAGACCCAGGCTTCTTTACTTATGCGAGTCAGCGACTGATTCAGTCTTGTCCTTCCTTATGACTCAGAATATTTTTTAAAATTGAGTTAAAAAATAAAAATTGAAACTTTAAAACTATATAGACAAGGAAAGGCCTCCTTTGACTATCACCCCATGTCCATTATCTTCCCCAGAGGTTTCCACTGTTTTTGGTTTAGTGTATATCATTTTAAAAATATACTTATTTATTAGACTTTATTTATCTGGCTGTGGCAGATCTTTGAACTGACAGGGATCAAAAAGTGAAAGTGTGGAGTCTTAACCCCTGGACCGCCAGGGAAGCCCCTCTTTTCTATGAATTTTCTGTTCATTCCCTTCACTCAATTTAAAAATTGGAATGTCTTTGGCTCAATGGGTAGTTTCTTATACATTCTGTGTAGATACAGCTTGTTTCCTCTGTTGCCTAATGTTTTCTTATATATCAATTTTTAATGGATGTAAAACACCATTATTAAAAAAAAAAAGGTGCAAGTGCCTGGCACATAATTACTTAACAGGAGGTCCAGCATTTTTAATTGCCCACATACTGCTAAAAATACCACAGAAGAAATCTGTGGCTCTAGTGGCTTCGTTTCCTACATTTTTTTCTTTTTTTTGCAAAATCACCTGAAGTCTGAGTGGAGCTGAGACTATGTAGCCCTGGAGATAAATGGTGACGACCACCTTCTAGGACACAGCCAGGTTCAGAGACCCTCTAATCAGGAAGCGACAGGAGAGCCCCTTTTGCACCCTTTTCAGAAACACTCGGTACCAGAGTTAACACCAGGAACCAGTGAGTGCTAATCTTAGTCCCGTGGATGTGTCCCACCGAGACAGATGGAAGCAGACACTTGACTTCAGCTCCTGCTTTGACATCAGATTTGTCCATAAACAGAAAACATGAGGATAATGAAATCAAAGGAAAGGACATCTCCTTCTCTAGTTCATGGCTCTCAAAAGCAATTTAAAAGCAGAGTCCTGCTCGGCTTTGCTTGCAGACTGGCTCCTACACGCGGCTGGGGCGGTGGGAGCCTGACTGAGCACTTCTGGGGCCCACGAGGGCCTAGAGCTCACGTCCCTGAGAGCACTTGTGGTCATGGTCACCCACGTCATGGACTCACAACCAAGGACGGGCCCTACAGTGCAACTGTGCTACCCTGAGGGACGCCTCACACTCCAGACGACACACACACACACACACACCCCTGGTCTCGTCTGGCCTTCCAGGTCTGGACACACACACACACACACCCCTGGTCTCGTCTGGCCTTCCAGGTCTGGACACACACACACACACACACACACACACACACCCGGTCTCGTCTGGCCTTCCAGGTCTGGACACACACACACACACACCCCGGTCTCGTCTGGCCTTCCAGGTCTGGACACACACACACATACACACACACACCCCGGTCTCGTCTGGCCTTCCAGGTCTGGACACACACACACACACACACACAGACACACACACACACAGACACACACACACACACACACACACCCTGGTCTCGTCTGGCCTTCCAGGTCTGGACACACACACACACAGACACACACACACACAGACACACACACACACAGACACACACACACACACACACAGACACACACACACACACACACACACACCCTGGTCTCGTCTGGCCTTCCAGGTCTGGACACACACACACACAGACACACACACACACAGACACACACACACACAGACACACACACACACACACACACACACACACACACACACACACACACCCTGGTCTCGTCTGGCCTTCCAGGTCTGGACACACACACACACAGACACACACACACACAGACACACACACACACACACACACACACACACACACACACACACACACACACACACACACACACACACACACCCTGGTCTCGTCTGGCCTTCCAGGTCTGGACACACACACACACAGACACACACACACACAGACACACACACACACACACAGACACACACACACACACACACACACACACACACACACACACACACACACACACACACACACACACACACCCTGGTCTCGTCTGGCCTTCCAGGTCTGGACACACACACACACACACCCCTGGTCTCGTCTGGCCTTCCACACACACACACACACACACACACACACACACACACACCCTGGTCTCGTCTGGCCTTCCAGGTCTGGACACACACACACACACACCCCTGGTCTCGTCTGGCCTTCCAGGTCTGGACACACACACACACACACACACACACACACACCCGGTCTCGTCTGGCCTTCCAGGTCTGGACACACACACACACACACCCCGGTCTCGTCTGGCCTTCCAGGGTCTGGTCTGCAGCCAGAAGTAGCAGGGTAAACCACCACAAGGTTAAATCTCATCCCTACGAGCTGATCTTAGCCCTCAGCGCTTGCTGTTCGCTGTAACCGCCTCACGCCTCACCTTCAGCCTAGGGGAGCCCAGCAACGGGGTTACTGAGTCTGTATCCCTCCTCCCCAAACCAGTAAGTGAGGCCTGTGTTTTGTCCCTGAGGGCAGAAAGGACTTGTGACTGAAGCAGACAGACCCTGGCGCTCTGCACAGGGTGAGGAGCATCTGTGGCGCTTCTGGCAACAGGAGCGGCTAGAATGGTATCCGGTCTTCTGACCAGGGTCTCAGCAGACTGGGAAAGGACACTTCCGAAGGGCCCGGCTAGTAAGTTTTAAAACACATTCCAAATGGTCATGGTCTATGAAACGGTTTAGAAAAAATTTATTTGAGCATACGAAAAGGAACTTTAGGGAACCCATTAAAACAGCAGTTCCTTTCCTCGGTGCGGGGGGCCACGCTCGCAGGATTCGCTGACCTGTACCAAGTGCTGGGTGCAAGCCCGCGATGCCAGAGGTGCAGCCTTGTGCTCCCTGAGCCGCGGGCGTGGCCTGTGTCTCGGTGGGACGCAGCCCATGCCCGGGGATGGAAGCCAAGCAGGCGGACTTGGCGACGCTGGTCCCCCATCCACGCCCCTGGGCACAGGTTCGGGGGGGTGTCTGCAACAACACACTGGACCACAGGCTCACAGTCCCGGCAGCTTCTAAAGGTGCCTGCATGGCTCCGCAAAGGGCTGGATGATTTTCCTTTCGTTGGTCGCATTTGGACTTTTACAGATGTTGACAGGGAGGAGGCGCCTAGATGCCAATGTCACCGAACTTTGGCACCGGCTGGGTCCTGTGGTTAGGAGGGGCCGCCTGGCCACCCCCACGGCCTCCTCTCCACTCACCGCCCTCTCCCGGGAAGGCTTCCTCCAAACCAGGCATGGAAGGCATGGTGCCAACTCAGTGGTTCACGGAGCCAGGCTAGTGGATGGGCCTGAATGGGAAGGTCATGCCTGAGATGAAGGTGTGCCCGGGGTGCGTCGGCAGGGCAGGGTGGGCAGCCGGGTGGGCTGGCACGGCCCCGTAGCCCAGCGGGGGCGTGTGGATGTGGGGGTAGAACCCGGGGGGGAGCGCCGTGTGGGGTGACTGCTGCACGGGGCCTGAGATCACCAGCTGGAGCAGGCTGTGGAGACAAAGAGAGGGGTTAGGGCGCACCGACTCCGACAGTGCTGCCCGCCTTCCGCGGGCCACTGTGGGGAGGAGGCGGGCTGATGGCACCAGGCTTCTGGGTGAGGAAGGCTGTGTGCCCAGGAGGACGGAGGGGCTGACCTGGAGGCGGTGGGATGTGGACTGGGGGCGCCCAGAGAGGAAGAGGTCACGGTGAAAAACGCCAGGATCCTGCTCACAGAGCCGGGGAGCAGGGGCCCTGAGGTCCACACGAGCTCCGGACATGGCCTCGGAGTCTGTGGTTCGGGGACAACCACGGATCACTGTCTGTTTCGGCCTCAGCTGTCCATACCCAGGGGGGGTCATCGAGACGGAGGAGCCACAGCAAAAAGGACGGAGGGCCACACGTCTCCAAGGCTTTCTGAACGACTGAGGCCCAACTGCACGCCAAGCACAGCCACAACGCAGCTGGCCTTGGACGTGACCCTGACACCCAGTGTTCTCAGAGGCGGCCCGGGCCTGGACCCAGTCCTCTACCCCTTTCAGGGCCCCCTTCCATCCCACTCCCATCCCCAGGAGCCTTAGTCCTCCCCTCTCCAACTCCTTTCCTCCCGGGTCTGCACCCTCCTCTCTGCGGTTCAGGACGTCCACAGCCTCTGCCTCCAGGAAGTCCTCTTCCCTCCTGAATTCAATGTCACCTCCACTGCTGGCCCCTTCTGAACCCCCTGGGGGAGTTTCCTCTCTTTCCTCTTGTCCTGTCTGACCCGCCCTCCCCTCCCAGCACAATCAGGAGGGCATCTTAACCTCCTCACCACCTCTAGCTTGGCCGCAGGGACTCAGCCTAAAAACCAATCCCTTCCGTCAGGACGCAGGCTTCCTCCCCAGTCCCGCTCCCCTGACCTCTGCTCTCCCAGCCTCACCCCAGGGTCTCCACTGTCTCACAGAGCCAGGGAATCCCGCCTGCTAGGCCCCCTCCACGCCCCCCAGCTTCCCTGTCCCCCGGGGCCGGGCCGACCTTTCATGCGGCCCTGCTCTGCTGCTGGAGCATCTCCAGTGGGACCACTTCATTCCCCCAGGAAACACTGTATTCCATCCTCTCTGTTTCACCCCCCAGACGCCCTCCCGGAACCCCCCGGCCCCTCTCGCCAGCAGCCCGGGGAATAGCCCCTGGCCCATCTTTTGGCCTCAAGTTCAGCCTGCACTCAGCTGGTCACACCTGCCTGCCCTCCTGGGCCCCGGCGGGGCTGGTGGGTCGGGCCCTGGGTGGCTGGGCACGCACTGTGCCGAGGGGCGCGCTCACCTATGTCCTTCCTCACTGCCGGCCAACGACGGCCCTGGAGCCCCACCATCGTGTTAAAAACCAAGGGGAAGGAACATTCCTCCATGTTTAAAAACCCTCAGAAAGAAGAATATTAATCATCCAACTAACTTAACTTGGCCGTTCTCGTTCCTGTAAACCCGCCCACCTGCACGCTGCATTCAACTATACACATTCACTGTTTTTGTATTGTGCGAAGACGCACAATACTTTGGCCACCTGGTGCAAAGAACTGACTCACTGGAAGAGATCCTGATGCTGGGAAAGATTGAAGGCAGGAGAAGGGGACGATAGAGGATGAGATGATTGGATGGCATCACTGCCTTGATGGGCATTAGTTCGAGCAAGCTCCGCGAGTTGGTGATGGACAGGGAAGCGGGTGCTGCAGTCCGTGGGGTCGAAAGGAGTTGGGACACGACTGAACTGAACTGAACAGTGTTCCACGCTTCTGATATAACATTACCAATTTGCTAAGTGTCCCTATGGAAGAGAGGGCTAGGTTGCTTCCAGCTTTTTTGCTACTAGTAATACTGCCTTTGCATGAAATAAGTTTTGTGCACACAGTTCTTTGCTTCTTGGACTCAGTGAAATTAACCTGATTGACAGAACACCTGAGGTACACGGGCGATGGGAGACGGACAGCAGCCAACACTTCTCAGGTGCTTTCTGCCTCCTGTGTTTTTACTCAATTAATCGTCACAAAAATCCCATGACGGGGAGCAGGGCATGGGAGGCAGAGGGGCCCGAGGCAGGTGCCATGGTTTTCTTGATTTTACAGAGAAAACGGGGGGAGCGAGAACGTGCCTGAGGTCACACAGATAGGAAGTGGCAAGGCTGGGATTCTCACCAGCAGCTGTGTGGCCTCGCGGTTCCTGCTCCTCACCACTTTACCACGGCTTCCCCCCAGGTCAGGACAAGAACCACCAGTGAGGGGGAGACTGCCGTGCGCCGTGGATGAGAGACTCTGCAGTGCCACCTCCTTTAAACCTCACTATGACCCTGGAGGCACATAAATCACTGCCCCCACTTTACAACTGGGGGGGCGGCGCGGAGGGGGGAACTGAGGTGACAAGGCGACCCGGCGTCACTGCAAGCCACAGACAGAGCTGCACTCAGAACCTGTCTGTGCCGCCCAACGTCAAGGCGCTGGCCTGACCCACACGCTGTGCCCCAGGGCTGCATCTCTGCCCTGCCTCCCTGAGGGCTGTGCCACCATAATGTTACCAATGGTGACACAGCGGCACAAGACACACCCGCGCGGGCCTCGTGAGCGGTGAAGGACGCCCACGGCGGCTCAGATGGTAAAGCATCTGCCTGCAAGGCGCGAGACTACCAGGAGGTGCAGGCTCCAGCCCTGGGCCGGCAAGATCCCCTGGAGAAGGGAGTGGCTGCCCACTCCAGTGTTCCTGCCTGGAGAATTCCACGGACAGAGGAGCCTGGCAGGCTACGGTCCACGGGGTCGCGGGGTCGGACACGACTGAGCAACTAAATAACAATGGCAAAGGACACTCTAGCTTCTTCACTGACGCCCAGCAACAGGGCCACTTTTCTCACCCTTCCGATGGACTCTCTGCTGGGGCTTCCTCTCCTGTGGGTTACGCGATCACATCCACCCCCTCCCCCTGCTGACTGTCAGGTCCTGGGGGGGTGCCTTACACACAGGAGCCCTAGACCCTGCAGATCAGATCTCCCCAAGGAAGCCAGGAAAAGCGGTCCCTGCCCTGCACACCCCACCACCCCTGCCTCCACCCCCGCGCCGGCCCAGCCAGAAGGCTGGGGAGGGCACTTACTTATTATGAGGCAGCCTGGAGCACAGGGTTCTCAGGTCATCTGAAATCAAAGGGACAGAGAAGTAAGGAAGAGCCGGGAGATGACAAGGGGAGAGCTCATGGATGTTTAAGGCTGCCAGCAGGATAGTCAGTGCCTTGTTCTCATCTATCACTGCTCAGAAACCGGGTTCTCGTTTTTCTTCTGTATGTGCTTTAACACGCGGGGTCCCCAAGAGAAGACATCACTTAGGAAAGGGGCTGGCTCTGCTGAGAGCCCGTCAGACGGCTGGGAAAGGGCCCAGAGACAGCGGATCAAGGCTAACAGGGAGATACGAGGGACACGGGTCACTGGAATCCCCGCAGGGCTGCTGTCAGGGGCTGAGAGCCAGTGGTCATAGAGCAAAGGCAGGCGTGTCATCAACACCAGGTCATGCTCCCGGCCGAGTTCCAGCACTGAAACGCAGAATTCAGGAACCCTCTGAACAGGTGATGGGAAAGTTTCCTGCACTTCATCGTGCATTTCACCGTATGTAAAGTATGCTGCAATAGAAAAGAACTGCAGAAAAGAAAAGAGTCCCTTGGAGGAAGGACATGAAGCTGGTATTATCCTCGCTCTGGAGGAGCCCCAGGTCTGGGCAAAACAGCCAGGAGACACCCAGATGTCTTGGTGAGGAATTCTACCCGGAAGCGCCCTGGGACTTCTGTCCTCCTCCCTGCGGCCACCAAGAGGCAAGACGTCTTAAAACCAGAGGAAAGAAGTCCTTGTCCAGGAGCCCCGAGTTTTCTTTTTTTAAAATTCTTTTTTAGTTTGTTTTTTTTGGGGGGAGCCCCTATTTCCTTCCCCAGAGGGGGTGGTGCCCCCACCCCAGGGGGGCCCGACCGGGCCATCACCCACCTCTCGTGCACAGCAGGGCCCCAGAGGCCATGGCCACCTGCAGAGCCTGTGCAAGCCGGTCCAGGGCAAGCTCGATCTCCTGGGAGGCGTTGAGGGGGTTCAGTTCGTCCGCCAATCTGTTCACCTCCTCCACCAGCGGGACCATGTGGTCAAAGAGGATGAGCCCCAGGCGGCCGTACAGGTTCTTCTCGGTCAGATGCACCTGCAGCATCAGGAGCACCTGGAGCACGCTCAGGTGCAGCTTGGAGTACAAGAGATGCGGGTCCCGGTCCGCCCCGCCCAAGGCCTTCGGGACTTTGGCGGCAACGTGGCCATTGGCTAAGGGGGTCTTCTTCCTTTTGTGAGCCAGGGGGGCTTTCACGCACCAGCGGATCAATCCGGTGAGCGGCGTGAGCTCTAAAAATCCTATTGGGAGGTTGGCGGCAATTGGAGTATTCAGGAAGGTGATGAGGATCAACCTGGGGTCCTCCAAGATCCAGTTGACGATCATCTCAAGCAGGTCCAACGGGGGGATGAGATCGTCTGCAAACAAAGATGCATTCATTCAGAAGGGTCCTTGGGGACAGGAGGAGATGGGAAGACGGACCTCCAGCTCACAGGACTCACCACCCGATACCCTGTGCCTTTGTCCTCTCCTGAAGATGGGGTACTTCTGACTCCTCTCCTGGAACAACCCCTCCTGAGGGCTGGTTCTCACCTGACTCAGCGTCCTGGGACTCCCAGCCTGGCCACGGTGGGGCTCAAGAAACGTGTTAAGCCAAATATTCCCAAGAACTCCATTATGCCTTGAAGATCCCATGTGTCAAAAAATTCCCGAAAACTCCATTATGCCTTGAAGACCCCATGTGTCAATTTAAGTAAAAATCCACTCTTTATATCTAGGGTGTTTTTATTCCATTCGAAAAGACCCTGATGCTGGGAAAGACTGAAGGCAGGAAGAGATGGGGCCAACAGAGGATGAGATGGTTGGATGGCATCACCGACTCAATGGACATGAGTTTGAGCAGACTCTGGGAGATGGTGAAGGACAGGGAAGCCTGGCGTGCTGCAGCCCATGGGGTCACAGAGTTGGGCACGACGGAGGGACAGAACAACAACAATCTATATCTAAAACCGCCGCCACACGTCCTCCCTCCCCTGGGAGCAGGTTTCGTCTGTGTCTTGTGTCCCCCAGGGTCTATCGTGTGCGTTAGCCAGGGCCCTCGTGCGTGACTCCTGCTGTCCAGTGCCAGGATCCATTCAGATGCTGAAGCAGGTGTTCAGTGCCAACCCTTGCTTCTGCCACCAGTTCATCACCTCTGTCACCAAATAGGTACACTGACCGCTATGGTGGCCTTCGGGGGGCAGCTCAGAGTCCAGACAGCGATCTGCCAGCTGCTAAGGGCCAAGCCAGCCCGTCTAAGCTAAGCCCGGCCTCCTGTGATCCCCGAGACATTCCAGGGCAAAACAGAGAAATTACGACGACACATGCTGACACTCACTCTGAGATAACGACGTGCCAGGGACCAGTTGCTTTCACACGGACTAACCCAGTCCTCAAACAACTCATCAACTATATAAAGGATGAGGAAGCTGAGACACCGAGATGTTAAGTCACTTCCTCCAGATTCATTAAAAGTACACGGTGGGGGGACTTCTCCGGCAGTCCAGGGATTAAGACTCCTCCCTCCCAGGGCAGGGGGCCCTGGTCAGGGAAGATCCCACATGCTACATGGCGTGGCCAAAAAAAAAAAAGTGCATGGTGGGCCCAGACCTGACCCCAGGCGGCTTTTAACCGTGAGGAGACACCACCCATCTCGGGGGACCGCACACTGCCCGTGGGCTGTGTGCACAGCAACGGGTCCCAGCCTCCCATCCCTGGGGCTGTGCGGCCTTCAGCTCACGACAAAGCTAAGGCTGACGGAGTCCCTGCCAGGCTGCTGTGCTCCAGGGCCACGCTTGAGAGCGGAGAGTTGGGGAAAGTGAGCCCCAAGTGGGTGTCAGGTCCCTAGATGCTCTATCATAGGGGACACTGGCCTTTTCCCTAAGATTATCTGCTGTTTTGTGAATGAACCACCTGTTCCCTGTTGCTATGAAAATGACGGTATCAGGAGGCAGCAGCTGTCTATGAGTTGGATTTGGCAAGGTAAACACTGGTGACTCTGAGTCTGTCCCCTTGACTTTCCAAGACGTGTCCATCTGGGAAACGTCAGTCTCAGGCCCGCTTATCCAGCAACCTAGCCCCTCCCCAGCCCCGCACACGTCTCAGCTGAGGCAGGTCCAGAGCCTGAAGGCAGTGTGTGTACACATGCTGTGTACACATGTGTGCTGTGTACACAAGTGTGTGTACCTGAGGAACCCATCTCCACAACCTTGCTTCATGGAGACCCGAGTTCTCTGCACCCATCGGACAGGAGGGTGTTCTGTTTGGTTACGTGAAGTCCTTCCATTTTGGGGCTTTGGAGGTGGAGACACCCCAGGAAGGCCTTCTCATCACCCGAGTGCTGGCCACAGCGACCGCGGTGCTGCTGGCAGACTCCACGCCCACCCTCCGGGCCGCTGCCCTGCAGGCAGTGATTTCCGTGGCTCCAAACTCATCACATCACACGCATAAACACAGAGAGCTTCTTGGATGCCAACCATACCTTGGAAGCAGTTTAAAAAACCAGACATCCCTGACATATCAGACAGGCAAGTTGACGTAAGAGAAAAATACCACGTCTCAGGTCCGTTCAAGCATGTGAGTGGTAACCTGTGAACACTTTTTCCTTCTTCACATGTTAATTAATCCATTTATTAATCCAGTGTTAAAACCAATTTCTGCTCTTGTTGCCCTGGAGTAACTGATGAAAGGCCAACTGTGATGCTGTGAACTGGCTTTAACTAAATCTCTCCTATGAGAAGAAAAAGGCCCTGAACACTGTTGTCAGCTGTTACGTGCTCTTAGGCCACCTCTGTGGAGAGGGACAGGGAAGGTGTCCTGCTGTGGCAGCATGCCCCCAAGTCCAGCCACCCATCCCAGACACCAGACCCTAGCTTGCTGGGCTGTCTGCTACTTGGACCGTTCAGCCAGCCAGGTGGGATTCACTAATGAGAATTCCCCATTAGGAAATCCCAGAGATCTAGGTAGCCCGTGCCTTTACCTTTCAGCCCGAAATAAAATACACAATGCAGAGGGAGAAATAAAAAGACAAAGCATTCGCTGGCTGGGCGGTCAGCGTACACACCGTTGGCCATCAGCTGACGCCGTCCTGAGTGCAACAGCCTGTTGATGAAGTTTACCTGATGACAGGTCGTACAGGGCGGTGACAGAGGTGATGAACTGGCAGCAGAAGCGAGGGCTGGCGCTGAATATCTGCTTCAGCGTCTGGACGGATCCTGGCACCAGACAGCAGTAGTCGTCCACGAGGGCCCGGGCTAACCGCACGCAATAGACCACAGGCGTCCGCTGGAAAGAAGCCACAGTGCATTAACTACAGGTGTGGTGAGCCAGCAGACGAGCAACCGTAAACACACAGCGAAGATCAGAACGGGCAGGACCCCTCCCAGGAGGCGAAGATGTGACCTGCTTACTCGGAAGCAGGGACTGGCAAGTGAAAGCCCGCAGACCAAATCCTTCCTGCCACCTGCTTTTGTAAATAAAGTTTTATTGAAACACAGCCCTGCTCCTGGGCTACAAGGGCAGAGCTGAGTAGGGGTGACAGAGATCACAGGACCCGCAAAGCCTAGGAGGTTTACTGTCTTGCCCTTTACCTGAAAGGCCTGCTGACCCCTGCTTTGAAGTCTGCTTGGGAAAACTCATTCTTGACTTCAAATGGGGAAATGAGTTTCTGTAACCCTGCAGGTAAGACTCTAAAGATAAAAATTAACAGCTGCTACCACTTTGACGCGCTTTAGGCGAGTCTGCGAACTGCCATGTGACTTGCAGCAGCACTGTCTCAATTTCTCCTACAATCTTCTCCTAGTACAGGTTCCTACATCACCACCCTCCGGTCTTTTCTCCCTCCTGGTCAGATGCCAATCTGTAGTCACATTCAACAGGTGCTCAGGATGCTATAGTTCCAGGGCTGAAACAGGGCCTGCAAACTGCAGGGTGTCAGGCCAGGCTGTTTATTCAGGCACTAAACGAGCCATCTCTACACCTTTCCTCAGAGGAAGCTGCAGTCCATGCCCCTGGGTGGCAAACCCTGACCCAAGCCACAAGACCCTTTGCGTTGTTAACATCTGCTTTCACTTCGCTAGAATGCCAGTGCAACAGCACCACGAGAGATAAACGGAAAATCACAGGATGAACTTCAAGGTGCTAAACTTGACTAAGCTAGGTTGCCAAAGGACAGAGGTTATCTTGAGGTTAAAGATAACACGAGAGATGAGTTCAGGTGCCCCAGAAATCAGAATAGTGACAATTAAGATACATTTCACTAAGACTCACCTGTGTGCCACAAAGAACAATATCTATTTTTACTAGCCAAATTTTAAAGACTAATAAGATCACACTGAGATAAATTTTTTAAAAACCCAAATGTCATCAAGTCTTTGGAAATGAAGCAAGTTTGAGAAACTGAATGTGGTAAATTGTGTTAACTTAGCTGAGGACCACGTTAATAATAATTTTGAGTTAATAATTACTCTAAATGGATTAGGAATTTTTCAACAACTCTGAGTAACAAAAAAGCAGAACAAAACAGATCTTCCAAAATCCTAATACACAATCTACTATGTGTGTGTGCAAAGTTGGCTTCAGTCATGTCCGTCTCTCTGTGGCCCCATGGACTGTAGCCTGCCAGGCTTCTCTGTCCACTGGATTCTCCAGGCAAGAATACTGCAGCGGGTTGCCACTTCCTCCTTCAGGGGATCTTCCTGACCCAGGGATCGAACCCATGTCTCTTATGTCTCCTGCATTTTCCCTTAGATGCTTAAAAATACTCTAGAAGGCTTCTATCTCCATATCCATTAGAAGAGCAATCAACTTAGAAGTGGCACTCTGGAACAACTCATAGGCTTACCGATCTAACTATAAAAAACAAGAATACTGGAGTGGGTTGCCACTTCCTTCTCCAGGGGATATTCCCCACCCAGGGATCGAACGTGAGTCTCCTCCATCTCCTGTACTGGCAGGTGGATTCTTTTTATTTTTTAAATTTATTTATTGAAGGATAATTGCTGTACAGAATTTTGTTTTCTGTGGATTCTTTAACATAGGGGAAAAAAACTCTCTAGAAACCAAAGCGAAAGTGAAATTGGCTCAGTCATGTGGGACTCTCTGTGACCCCATGGACTGTACAGTCCCTGGAATTCTCCAGGCCAAAATACTGGAGTGGGTAGCCTTTCCCTTCTCCAGGGGATCTTCCCAACCCAGGGATCAAACCCAGGTCTCCTGCATTGCAGGCGGATTCTTTACCAACTGAGCTATGAGGAAAGCCCAAACTAAATTCAAATTCCTGTCACTAAACATCTTCAGAGACTTGCAGGAGAAGTACCTGGAGCCAGGATGCTGCACACTCAAGCACCGGGATTCGACACACAGCCACTGCCATAGAGACAAGTTTTCCCAACAAGCTCATCCGGCTGTCATCCGCTTTGTTCCCTTGGGGACTGAAAAGGGATGAAAAAATAATCTGCCGGACAGAGTCCTTGGTTTGCTCCTGGAAATAATTGCACATGATTTCAAGAAGTTGGAGCTCCTGCAGTGAATTCAACCTCTGTAAAACAAATCCGGGAGAAGCGGGAAGAAATGAAGCGTATTAATCAATTCACACGGTAAGAAAACACACCACTTTCCCCCAGGGAACTTTTCACCTCCCTAAAGCCCGGGTCCCACGGAGTAGAACTCGATTGTTAAATCTAGGGAAATGTGACGCTGCGTCATTATGCATCACCCTGTGGGATTCGGGATGACCTACGGTCTCTTCCTTTAACAAAACCTTGGAGACGCGGGGGTCACATGCCTCGCAAAACAGGCAATCTGGCCGCTGCTGAAGGAGCCGGGCCAAGGGCTAGGACGGAGCCGCCGCTCCGAAGAGAGCTCGCGGTGCGGCCGACGCTTGTCACCGGGAAGGGAAGAAGGGAGCCGGGGTTCACGGATCGGGGTGGGGGGCCTGCCGGCCGCCCGGCGCACCTTGGGCTGCGCGCCGCGCTCCTTGGGCACCTGGAACACGAACTCCTCGAGCAGCTCCACGGGGCCCTTGTCCACGATGGGCAGCGGCGCGCTCTGCAGCTGGCTGCTGAAGTAGATGTCCAGGTGGTACAGCACCTCCTTGGCGGCGCTCAGCGCGTCGCGGCGCAGCAACGAGTGCCGGATGTCGCTCATGGTGCGGCCGCGGCGGCCGGGTCGCCGGGAGCGCCGACGGACTTCCGCCCCGGGGCCCCCGCGGACGCGCCCGCCGCCGCCGCCGAGACAAAGAGGCCGCGGCCCGGCCTCCGCCCGCCGACGCCGGGCCTGCGCCGCGGTGCCCGCCCGCCCGCCGCCGCCCTCTCGGGCCCGCTCAGGGGGCCATCGATGCCCCCGCCGGCGGCCGGCGGGCGCCCCAGGTGCGCGTCGACAGCGCCACCGACAGCCCTGGGAACCAGACGCCGCGGGCCGCGCTGCAGCGGAGGCGGAGCGCGGCGACGGCGGCCCGCAGGGGCCAAGCGCGGGCGGCGGCGGCGAGGGCCCGCCCTCGGGGAGCACGCCCCCTGGCGGCCCGGCCCGAGGGAACGGAAGCGGCAGCCCCGCCCACCCAGACCCCGCCCCTGCCGAGGGGGTGCCACACACCCCCAACCCCGGAGAAGGCTCCCCGGGCCTGATGCCCCCCACCCAGAGACCCTCCCTGAGCTCCCCTTGCTTTCTCAGCGCGGCCTTCAAAGACTGCGCGTCTGATTTCACCGAGCTTTTCAAAAGACAGGATGCTGGTGCAGGGCGCTGGCTCAGGCCTCAGCCATTCATTCACTATTAAGATTGAATCTAGTCTTTAACACCTGGGACCGCAGTGACGCGGAACGATACCTCCTACCCCGGAGGCCGCATTCCCCAATGCCTTCTGGAGTGGCCCGGCCTGCCTGGGAGGGACACAGGGAACCGTTATCCTGCGCCTGACGACCAAGATCTGACAACCCAAAAGCCCTCAGCACTTTCTGTGAATCTCTTGTTTCCTTGCGTTCATCTTTCTGCAATGGATTAACTGGGGCTTAGTTTGGCGTTTTAAAAATAGGGCAGAAATGACTTGAGTTTGGCCACAAGAGGCCAGTGGAGGGCAGGCAAGAGACCAACAGGGATGTGCTTCCTGTAAAAGGCCCATCCTGGCCTGCAGGTGGGTCAAGGTGAGGATACTGGGTGTGGGTCAGGACGTAAAAAAAAAAAAGCCAAGGTCCTTCCCTGGGAAAGATGGAAAGGACATCAAAGAGGGTGCATCCAGGGACAACTCCAAATCACAGGGACCCTCCTGCACATCGGTGGACCCACATCGGTGGACCCGGCCATGAGGCCCCTCCCATCTAGGAGGCCAGCGGGAGACCAAGGGCAAGAGGAACGTCTGAGAAGTCACCTTTGAGTCCCTTGGCACCAGGACTTCAGAGATGCTCTGTTCAGCCAGCTGAGTGAACAGAGGATAAAAGGGTTTATTAGCAGGGTACCTGGCAAGGATTAGACACCCAGCAAATACTAATTTCCCCTCCTCTCCTTAGCCACTGAAAGCCAACTCGTAAACACAGCAGAAACCAGAAAAACAAATAAACCAATGCTTAGAACATATCCATATGTATAAATAGATGTATACTATATTTAAAAGGCAGTGACACTCTTCCCATCCCTATTTCTTCTTTCTCTCATAACGCGCAGTAGCAGGTAGAAAGACCTCTCGAAGGTTGCCCCAGAGCCCACGGGAGTGGATGTTCCGGTAGGCCCGGGGCTCCGCTGCTGGGGGCCTGGCCACGTGGGGACACTGCTGGCACCAGGCCCGGTCGCCTTTGTACCACTCGTTAGTGGTCTGGTTGGTGGCGGCCAGGTACAGACAGAAGCACAGGTAGCCCCCCAGGAGGAAGCTCAGCACCACGACGAAGCCCACCAGGAAGACGATCCTTGGGAAGGTCAGGAACAGGTACTGGGGGCAAAGAAGAAGCAGCGTGTTAGACAGCCAGGCGGAAGTCAGGGTCACCCCACCAGCCAGGGTCTTGTCCACACGCGTGGCAGAGCTGCCTCCCCGGCTCCCCCATCTCTGACCCTCTGGAGATAATCAGCAACACAAATGGCATGGACAAGCAGCCCAGGAGGAAAGCCTGGTGTGTCTAAGAACTTCACACGGGATAAACGGAGCGCGTACATTGAGGGAAAAGGGGAAGGACACTTGGGAAGTGGTGCTATGCCAGGTGGCTGTGCAGAAAATAAACAAAAATAAATGCAGATCTTAGTTCATGCATCAACATAAAGTCCAGGCAGACAGAAGAGGTCGGTCTCTCTCTGAAAACAGTATGACCACAGCAATACATGTACAAAGGTATTCACTGAGCATCAGCCCCTCTTCCCAAAAGAAACCAGTTAAATTTCCATCCAGGAGGTAGAATAAAACTCTGGGATAGTTACACTATGGAACAATAAGGAGCCACTGAAGTGAGGTCAATGTCTGTGCATTAATTTGGAAAAGATGCTGGTAATATATTGCCCAACGAGAAAGATAAGATGCAAAAGTCACCATGGAAGCCTATTTGTGTAAAAATAAAGCTAACTCTGTGAAGGTGTATGGCCATATAAAACAGATACACAGGGAAAGAAAGCCTGAAATAAACAACAAACCAACTATAAAGGTGTTTGCCTCTGGAGAGTGAAATTGTTGGGAGAGGAATAATTTCCAGTTTATATTTTTTGTCCAAGATATTTCAAATTTTCTTTTCACTCCCAGCTTTATAGAGATATAACTGACAAATAACACTGTGAAAGTTTAAGGTGTACAATGTAATATACAACATAATAATTATATGGTGAAATGTTACAGTAAGGTTAGTTAACACATCAGTCACCTCATATAGTTACAATGTGTTATCCCAACATCAAATAGATAAATAATTAGAGGGCATAATTCACACACACACACAAAAACAACCTAAAATGGACTTATCATACAATCCACAATCACGCTGAAGACCTATTTTTATACAGCAGCTTATAAATGGAAGTTCATAACAGCCTCATCAGTAATAGTCCAAAACTGGAAATTGCCCAAATGTCCCTCAAAGGGTAACTGATTAAACAAACTGACCCATCCACACCATGGAATACGGTATGGCAGTAAGAAGTAATGAACTACTGATGCACGGAACTGCCCGGATGGATCTCGAAGAAACTGTGCTGAGTGGAGAAAACCAACCTCAAAATGCTACCGTAGGATTCCATGGAGGTAACAATCACACAATAACAATGATAGAGAGGACAGGTGAGCGGTAGCCGAGCATTAGGGACATGGGGAAGAGGATGTGGGCATCAGGGGTACCACAGAGGGTCTGTAGTGATGGACAGAAGACCACCTTGATTGAAGGGGCTGTTCTGCAAACAGCCCGCAACGCAGTCACCTGAACAGTAGTTACCTGAACAAGAAAGACAGTGTCAACAACCTGCAAGTGGCCGAGGTCATCGACGTAAGTCTGCAGGTACACGTCTGACATCACCACCAGCCGGACCAGGAACACGGCGCTCACCACGGCCATGGTGGCGGCCGAGGCCGTCAGCGTCCAGAGGTAGCAGAGGAAGTGCCGGGTGTTCCAGGCCCCGATGCAGTTGTTCACCCACACACAGTGATGGTCAAACCGGTGCACGCACCGGTCACACACACCTGCAGGGCAACAGGGGAGCCACAGGCCGGCGTTGATCCTTGGTAACGACACATGGACATGAGCACTGAAGGCTGGGGAAATGGCAGCTGCTGCCACCACATCTTCAGAACCGCGGTGTAAATACACTGGCCGATACAGTAGCCACATGTGGGGACTGAGGCCTTGAAACATGGCTACAAGAAAAACCTCAAGGAATACTTTGTTGACATTGATAAATTCACTTGTTTTCCAATTTATGCAATGCTCCTTTGAGTTCAATGTAAGTGACACTGAGGTGACCCAATACTTAGTGAACTGACTTTATTTAGATGTAATCTTAAAACTGATGCTTCTGCTTCCAAGTCAAATCCCTTTTTTGCATAAAGATGAACCCTTACGTCAATGTAGATGTGGATATTAAAGGACAAGGATGTTCTGGTACTGACTCAGTCACTGAAAAACTATTGCAAATGTCTAGAAGAGCTTGGGTACATGAATCAGTTCTTCCAACTCTAAATTTTATGAACTCTAAATACACATCAAGAATGTCCAATAAAAATTTGGTGTTTACTGACTGAGATGTAACAGTGATGTAAAAAACACACTGAATTTCAAGGAATTAGTAGAAAAGAGAATATAAACACTCCATGAGTGATATTTTTATTTTTTATATTGATTACACGTTAAGATGGTGTTTTAGGTATGTTAGGTTAAATGAAACATATGATACTAATTCTGTCTATTTCTTGTTTACTTTTGCAATGCGGCTACCGGAAAATTTAAAATCCCCTATGCGGCTCACAGGACACCTCTGTTGGACAGCAGTGATCCAGGATCTCGGGTACACCCTAAGAGAATAGGCTCTGCCAGGACTGAAGTCAGCAAACGCAACATCCCACAGAAGCATCTCTTGGGCAGCAAGCCCAGCTACCAAGCAAAGGACGGGCTGTTGGACCCAGAGCTGAAGGCTACTCACAAGAACACAAGGCTTCATCTCAGGTATCTTAAAGAAACCATGATCAGGTCCCTACCTGCAATGGCCGCTTCTAGTCGTATGTAACATCCTCTGACAGAGGATGTTGTCTGCTGGGTGAGGGCGGAGCTGGAGGGGCCAGGGCCAGACTTACTGCAGTGCTTGGACCTCGCTGGTTTCCTTAAATCACAAGTAGGGCACCTCACGTTCTTTGGGAACATCACTTCATCAAATTCATAAACTTGAAGGAACAGTAATTCGTTTGCTTTTGTTATGGTACCTGAAAAAAGGAAAGACAAGTGTCAGTTTTGAGCTATACAGTGTTCAAGCAATCTGTCCTGGAAAAATACAACTAAAATTGCTATGTTTAGCATTCCAAATAATTTATTTTTTAAATTAACAGCTTTATTGAGATATAGTTCATAAAACCAACTGACTTGTTTATAGGGTACCATTCAATGGTTTTTATAGTCACAGAGTTGTACTACCATCACAATCAGCTTTAGAACATTTGCATCACCCCAACAAGAACTCCTTTAGCAGTCACTCTTCATTTCTCTCTAGTCCCACAGCCCCTTGCAACCTCCAATCTACTTTCTGTCTCTATGGATTTGCCTTTTTTGAACACTTTCTATAAATGGAATCATACAACATGTGGTCTTTTTTACCTGGCTTCTTTCATTGAGCATGTTTCCAAGGTTCCTCCATGTTACAGCATGTATAAGTACTTATTCCTAGTTATGGCTGAGTAACATCCTACTGAAGAGGTATATCTCATTTTATTTATCTATTCATTAGTGAGTGCACATTTAGTCTTTCAAAAATAGAGGCTAAAAGAATGGGGAAAAGTACCCAGCAAGTATCCAGCAAAAAACAATGTAATAATATCAGACAGAGAGGCCTTGAGAACAGTGCATTACTAGTAACAGAGGCTCATTATATTTAGAAAAAAGAATCAGGAGATAATACTAATTCTAAACTTGAATACTCCTGAGTATATATAACTATTATACACACACAAATATTTAACAGCTTCAAAATATGTGAAGGAAAAAAATCTGTCAAACCTACCATTAGAATGAGATCACATACTCTCTCAGTAATCAATCAAAAACAGTATGAATATAAAAGACCTCAACATAATTAACATCTTGATCTAATGGACTTATACAGTTGCCTATATCTAAGAGCTAGACAATAAATACTCTTGAAGAACACATGGATTATTTATACAAACTGACCACATACCTGGGCATAATGCAAATATCACTAACCATTTTAAAAGAAAATGTATCATATATACTGAAAGCTCTGTACATAATACAATTAAGTGAAAGTATCAAAAAATAAAAGTGTATGGCAATTTTTAAATAGTTTTAAATAATCTGTGAGGCAAAGAAGCAAAAAATACTTAAAGTTAAAAAAAAGAATAAAGCACACCTGTGTGCATGAAGAAGGAAAAAGATAAAATCAGAAAACACAAAACACTGAAAGATCAGGCTTCTCTGGTAACTCAGTAAAGAATACACCTACCAGCGCAGGAGACATGGGTTTGATCCCTGGTCCGGGAAGATCCCACATGCCTCAAAGGCAATGAAGCCCATGCACCACAACTATTGAGCCTGTGCTCTAGAGCCCAGGAATCGCAACCACTGAAGCCCATGGGCCCTAGAGCCTGTGCTCAGCAACAAGAGAAGCCCGTGCACCACAATGAAGTGGAGTCCTCACTCGCCATAACCAGAGAAAAGCCTGAGTAGCACCGAAGACTCCACATTGCCATAAAGAAAGAAAGAAAATGTAAAACAAACAAACCTGAAAGTTCGTGCACACCTTACAGATCAAATCTTCTGCAGAGCCCTCAGAGGGATCACTACTTGTCTGTAACACTGTCAACAAGTCTGACAGTGAGCTGTGACCGGTTTCTATACTAAGAGCCTCAACTTACCAGGGTTGGTTACACAAGTTAGGGCGAAAAAAACCAGGTTTACAATCAGCAGCAGATAAGGCAGGAAAAGGTAATATAAAGAGAACTCCAGCTGTTGACAGAGGCCAAATATTTCCCAGGTGTATTCGGTATAAACCATCCCTTGCAAGATGAGATGCAGGATAACGAAGGTGTTGTTTCTGAAAGAAACAGGTAGATGACTTGTTCACAGGGGCTTCTCTGTGAAAAACTTGTGCCATGATATGGAATTAAAAGATGCTTACTCCTTGGAAGAAAAGCTATGAATAACCTAGACAGCATATTAAGAAGCAGAGACATTTCTTTGCCAACAAAGGTCCATCTAGTCAAAGCTATGGTTTTTTCAGTAGTCATGTATGGATGTGAGAGTTGGACTATAAAGAAAGCTGAGCGCCAAAGAATTGATGCTTTTGAACTGTGGTGTTGGAGAAGACTCTTGAGAGGCCCTTGGACTGCAAGGAGATCCAACCAGTCCATCCTAAAGGAAATCAGTCCTGAATATTCACTGGAAGGACTGCTGCTGAAGCTAAAACTCCAATACTTTGGCCACCTGATGCAAAGAACTGGTTCATTGGAAAAGATCCTGCTGCTGGGAAAGACTGAAGACAGGAGGAGAAGGGGACAACAGAGGATGAGATGGTTGGATGGCATCACCGACTCAATGAATATGAGTTTGAGCAAGCTCTGGGAGTTGGAAGAACTCCCTGCAGCCTGGCGTGCTGCAGTCCACGGGGTCGCGAGGAGTCAGACACAACTGAGCAACTGAACCGAACTGATGCTATGGAAAGTGAACCAAGGGACACCACTTCTTTTGGGCTTGAGATAATAGTAATCATGTAAAACCTTTCACCTACTGCCTCCCACACAGTAAGTATTCAATAAATGTTATCAATTATCATCATCATCTTTGTTGGGAACTGAGGTCTCAGTATTAGATACATTTCTTTTTATATAAATGAATGTCAGCATTTTATCATTCTTTAAATATTTCTATTTAAAATTAGGTATATTGAAACCCCAAAGATATAAGGCAGATTATCCATGAGTAGAGGGTCTGAACCCAGGACTCTTGATCCCTCCAGCATCGTGCCCCTTAACACACTGGAAACAAACAAGGAACCTCCTGAAGCCAGAGGACAGCAACAGCTAATAGGCTAAACAGGAAAGAAGATACTACTGATACTTAAAACTCTGAAATAGAAATACCTTGTATGGAAGAGGTAATGAAGCACTCTTAGCATGACTCTCTGAAGACATTCTGGAATTATATATGAAAATATCTAAAACAAAAGAGAAAGGTTCAGTTTCATTTCTCGTTACCCACCCCCAACTCTTAAACAAATCAGATGCTTCACTTTCAGCCAGCAGTGTTGGTAATATTAAGGTGTGTTTCTGCTTATGAGCAGAGAACCGATTAAAGTGAGGACAGAGGAGGGCCGCCTGCAGCAGGCCTTCCTTTGATGCCCGCTCCTCCGTTTCCACCCTGACCAAACACAAGGCACCAACTGGGGGTCTTCAGGCAAAGGGAGGTAAGCAGAGGGGCTGGATTTTAATGTGAACTGCTAACAAAACCTTTCCCTGCCCTGTGTTCAATCCTAAGTCCCAGACTCCACTGGGCATTACCCAAGGTCCCTCCCAGCCAACTCCCTCCCAAGGCGTTTCACCCCAATTCTGCTCATTCTGATCCCTGGAGCAGTGTGGGCAGCCTGATGTTCGGCTTTCTGTTCACACAACCTCCAGTTTCACCCATCAGGGCCCTCCAGACATACATTTCTCACATCCATGCCCAATTACAGGCATCAAATCCAGAGAAAAACAGCCAGTCTTGAGAATGCTAGCTTTGGAATATACCACAACTGCCATAAATGAAAGAACAAGTGAACGAACGAATAAAAATGGCATCACTTTTTTGTTCTGATGGAAAATTGGTGAGCCTTTGGTGTGTGTGCATGTGCGCTCAGTCGTGTCCAACTCTTTGTGACCACATGAACTGTAGCCCATCAGGCTTCTCTATCCATGGGATTTCCCAAGCAAGAATACTGGAGTGGGTTGCCATGCCCTCCTCCAAGGAATCTTCCCGACCCAGGGATCGAACCCACGTCTCTTTTGTTCCCTGCATTGTTAGGCAGATTCTTTACCACTAGCGCCACCTGAGAAGCCCAAGCCTTTTAGACTGGCGGTGTTCACGGGTTCTCCAAGCATCACTGTTACCTGTGCCCCTCTGCTGGTCACGCCTTGCAAGTAATGGGTTTTCGAGCCTACGCAGATCATCACAAAACCAAGCAGCACCAACGCCAGGTAGAGTAAGAACAGAACCAGAAAGTCCATCCTGGGGCTACGAAAGAACAGAAAGAGTGTGACCACTACTGAGGGATATATTCCAACGCATATTCTCAGACACTGATTCCCTAAGCGGCTCCTCAAACAGAAGTCTCCAGTTTTCAAGCACTAACTACCTCTCAGTGGAGCTGCTCACCTGGGCACCCTTCAAGAGTTTCCTAATCAAACCACTGTGGTCTGCCTTGTGGCATTTCCTGCCTGCAAATCCCCAAATCAGTGGGAAAGAATATGCAGAAAGCATCGGTCTTCCTTCAGATAGCACACTGATATGAAATGTACCCAAGAGAATCTGCTGATAATACTCTTGGAAAGAGGGTCCAGCAGAGGAGGTCAGGGGCCAGGATCAGTAATGGCGTCTCATGAAGCAACCCTCCAGGCCAGGCCAGGGACCCCCAACAATCAGGGACCACCCTGGGGGACCAGAGTCAACACACAGGCCTGTATTCAGAAACTGGGAACGGTTACTCTGGGCCTTGGCAGATATGATTCTGGGCAGAACTTCCAACTGAGATAACCAAACTGGAAACTCTCCACGAGATAGGGCAGAAGAAACAAAGAGCAGTTAATTCTCACGAGGTGATTCGGGGTCCCCAGCCTACATATTTCTTTTGTCTGGATAGCCTTCAGCCGGCAGCTCTGGCATTTCTCCTCCGAACATTCACGGAGAACTCAAATGGCATCTCCTCTTGCGCAGCGGCGAGTGCCTGGCGCAACGAGTGGCACCGAAAGTTACAGGAGACATGGTTCCCCTAGGAGGCTGGATCTGGCTGCAGAGACAGCAATTCAACACACACGACGTGACAGACCAGGAGTCGGGGGCAGACTCTACTGTGGGAAAGAAGGTGAAAGTCAGAGGATGTTGTGCCCCCGCAGGGTGAATGGGCATTTTAAGATTTCGAAAGGGCAAAAAAGCTAATCGGGAAGAAATAACCCAAGAGACTTGGATCTCGGTGTTTATCCCTATACTTAAGGAGTCCAGCTGGGGACCCAACAGAAGGGTAAGCCCGAGGCTACACTCCGTCCGAAGATCCCAGCGGCTCCGGCCATTTCCCCCAGAGCCGAAGCAGGGCTGGGGGGCGGGGTTAGAAAGATCGGAGGGGACACGGAGGGTGTCTGGGCGCCGGGCAACCCCACACAAAACGGGAAAGGACTGGTCAGACAGGGAGACGTACGGCCCTGCGCCAGCCCGGGTACCTAACACCCCAGCGGAGGCTGACTTACCGCCCGGATCTGCCAACAACCAGCAGCGCCCTGGCCGGCGCCTCGAGGGCGCGTCCCCAGACTTCCGGCGGACACGTGACGTCAACATGAGACGCTATTGTTGGCCCGCTCGACTTCCGGCGGGAGTGCTTGCGGGAGGCTGCGGAGGCGGGGCGGTCTGTGGTGGTCTGCTCTCTCTGAGGTGTCTCTAGTTTCCTCATTGGGCACTTTAAGACCGACGGCCGCAGGTTCAGCTTTGGAGAGCCGTTGCCAGAAATCTTACAAAAGACTGTCCCAGGCCTGGTGCGGGTGAGGACGCCGGTGTTGTGAAGCAGACCTAGCCGCCCGCCGACCTGAGTAGAGCCCAGTCAGGGCCGGGCTCCCAGCCGTGCAGGGGCCGGGGCGGCCCAGGACAGGCTCACCTTGGCGCTCGTACACTGTGTCTTCGTGATGAACAGAGTTTGCTTTGCTTTCTGCCGGTCGCACCGTTTGGACCCGTCTCAACCTTTCCAGTGGCTTTGCTCCTGCTGTCTCGGAACAGCTCTGAACATCCTGCCCCTGGGTGGTTGAGGATTGTTTGACTCCAAACGTGGGGGATAAGAAAGAAGGTTGTTTAATGATAGTTGAACCTGGAGAGAGAAAAGCTGCTTCCAAACATAGCATTGAGAAGGCCCCCGTGGGGTGTTCCTTTGCCCTGACACCTCAGAATCCGCTGAGACCGGTCTATTCTCGATGCCTCTGAAAACATGAGGCAGGCCTATCCTCCCTTTGAGGGGAAATGTCTGTGATCTCCAAACACTGACATTAAAGCGCTTCTCTTTGCCTGTCTTTGCTACCTACCCCCAGCTTATTAATTCTTCTTCTTTTTTTTTTTTTTTTTCTTTTTAAAAAACTTCCCAAGCTGGTCATTTTCTGATACATTATGTGAAAGGCATTCATGAACTTGAGGACACAGAATCGAGAAACAAAACCCCAAAATCAGAAAATATGATAGCACCAAGGAGGACTGTGGTTATGGATGGAGCCTCATCAAGTATGCGGAGTGGCTGGATTTCATCGGTGTTTTCAGCGGACACTCATCACCCTGCTGGTTAATTCTGAGCTGGTAGTTAAGTATTTTGATTAGCTTTCTTCACTCATAAGTGCAGAGTTTTATTTTTAATCCCATTCATTTTTCTTTAGATGGTTTTAGTTGGGCCTCAATTTAAATCTTGGTTTGATTACTAGGGTATTTTGTGCCGGACTGCTTTTCTTTCATTTTTTTTAAACTGATGCGAGTAATACTATATTGTGTTCTCCTTGTAAAAGAGTCAAACTATACAGAACGAAAACCTCCCTTGACCACCACCCCTCCCAAATCTCAGTAGTTTGACAGAATTAATCACTTATTTAGTGTGTATCTTTCACAACTCTTTATACATTTATACATTGTTCAGTCGCCCAGTCATGTCCGACTTTTCACAACCCCATAGACTGCAGCGTGCCAGGCCTCTCTGTCCCTCACCATCTCCTGAAGCTTGCCCAAGTTCGTGTCCATTGCATCAGTGATGCCATCCAGCCATCTCATCCTCTGACACCTTCTTCTATGTACTTATTAAACATAATGTATTGAGGGACTGGGAAGCCCAGGTGGTTCAGTGGTAAAGAATCTGACTGCCAAGCAGGATACTAGAGACGTGAGTTCTATTCCTGGGTTGGGAAGATACCCTGGAGAAGGAAATGGCAACCCACTCTAGTATTCTTGCCTGGGAAATCCCATGGAGGGAGGAGCCTGGCAGGCTACAGTCCTGGCAGGTCTCAAAAAGAGTCAGACATGACTTAGCAACTAAACAACAACAACAAGTTGAGGGGCATCCCTGATGGTCCCAACGGTTGAGAATCCACCTTCCAACGCAGAGGATGCAGGTTCGGTCCCTGGTAGGGGAACTAAGATCCAACTTGCTGTGGGTCAACTGAGCCTGTACTCCATTTGCAATAAGAGAAGGCCTGTGCACAGGAACTGGAGAAACCCTGTGTGCTGCAACAAAGACCCATTGCAGCCAAAATAAAATTTTTAAAATATGTATTAAGAACCCAATATATGCCAGGGACTGTTTTAGGCAGTAGGAACATAACAATAAAATGGAAAAATCCCTGAACTTCATAGTTTACATTGTAGTGTGTACATACAAATACATAGTTTTTTGTTTACCAAAATAGCATTATCATATACATAACGGTTCTACCTCTTGCTTGCTCTTTTTTTTTTTAACCCAGAGTATGTCCTGGTGATCCTTCACACCACTACATAATCATCTGCTATGTTGTATTTACCTCACATGTACAATTCATTACTTGGCGGAGCCATAACTCATCTGCCAAACTCTCAAACTCTGGTGCCTACAGGGGATATGCAAGTAACAATTCAATAACGTGACAAAGTGGAGCAGGTGTGTTTTGTTCTAAGCAAAAGTAGCTATTTACACAGACCGAAGGATTGTAACTTGAATGCCAGTGTTTTAAGAATATTTGAAAACACGGATCTTTATGACATAAATCTAGTTTTTTAATATTGGCAACTAATTCAAGATTATGAAACAGTATTCAGGCTAAGCACAACATACCTGCAGGACAAATTTAGCCTAAGGGGTGCCAATTGGCAACCTTAAATGTAACGGTACTGTTATTAAACACTTAAGTCAATTTCAGGTTTTGCTATTGCAAACTGTGTTGCAGTGAAAATACCTTCATTAAGTTCATTACCCACAAGTAGGTATATTTTTCTAGGACAGCTACAGGAAGTAGAATTTCTGGGCCCCAGAATATATAGGCATTGTTGTCATTGTTGTCATTGTTGTTTAGTTACTAAGTTGTGTCTGACTGTTTGCAACCCCATGCATTTTTAGTTTTAATAAATTGTATTAAATTGCTCTTCCACTTCAAACATCTGAAAGAGCCTGTTTCTCCAAACCCTTGCAAGCATTTGAGAGATCAGGTCCTTTTTGTTTGTTGGTTTGGCCATGACACAGTGCTTGTAGAATCTTAGTTCCCTGACCAGGAATTGAACCCTTAACCCAGGCCATAGCAGTGGACCACCAGGGAATTCCCAGATTAGCTCCTTTAATATATACATTCTGATAAGTTAAATGGCATTTTATTTATTTGTTCACCACACACTTACGTAGCGTTTACTATGTTCCAGGTACTGTTCTAGGTAGTTTAAAGTTTTTTAATATTTATCATTTAATTTTTATAGTAACTCTATGAGATAGTTCAGTTCAATTCAGTTGCTCAGTAGTGTCCCGACTGCAACCCCCATGGACTGCAGCATGCCTGGTTTTCCTGTGGAAGTTCAGGAGTCCAATCACCCCAGGAATCCTTCACCAACTCCCGGAGCTTGCTCAAACTCATGTCCATCGAGTCCATGATACCATCCAGCCATCTCATCCTCTGTCATCCCCTTCTCCTCCTGCCTTCAATCTTTCCCAGCATCAGGGTCTTTTCCAGTGAGTCACTTCTTTGCATCAGATGGCCAAAGTATTGGAGTTTCAGCCTCAGCATCAGTCCTTACAATGAATATTCAGGCTGAGTTCCTTTAGGATGGACTGGTTAGATCTCCTTGCAGTCCAAGGGACTCTCAAGAGTCTTCTCCAACACCACAGTTCAAAAGCATCAATTCTTCAGCGCTCAGCTTTCTTTATAGTCCAACTCTCACATCCATACATGACTACTGAAAAAACGTCTCTGCTTTGTAATATGCTGCCTAGGTTGGTCATAGCTTTTCTTCCAAGGCGCAAGCTCTCATACTTACAATGAATTAAGTATTATTATTATTATTATACCACTTTTACAGATGAGGAAATGGAAGCCTAGAGAAGTTAAACAATTTCCTGTCAGGCCGTAGAGTTAAAAGATATGAGAGCCATGATTCAAACCCAAGCCATTGGGCTAAAGAATTAGTGTGCTTGATTGCTGTGCTGGGCTGTCTTAATTACAACTGGCTGGTTTCTAGCGATGCTGAACATCACTAGACATTTAGGTTGTTTCTGTGTCTTTTCTGTTGTAAACAGTGCCACAATGAACATTGGGTTGCATGTATCCTTTCAAACTGTGGTTTTCTCTGGATATATGCCCAGGAGTGGAATTTCTGGATCACGTGGTAGCTCTATTTTTAGTTTTTTGTGGAACCTCCATACTGTTCCCCATCATGGCAGCACCAATTTACATTCTCACCCACAGTGTAAGAGGGTTCCTTTTTCTCCACACTCGCTCCAGCATTTATTGTTTGTAGACTTTTTAGTGGTGGCCATTCTGACTGGGGTAAGGTGATATCTCATTGTAGTTTTGATTTGCATTTCTCTAATAATTAGTGATGTTGAGCATCTTTTCATGCACCTCTTTGCCACCTGTGTGTCTTCTTTGGAGAATAGGAGTGGGTCTTTATTGATCTCATCCAATGAGGATAATCCTATCTTCCTT